TGTGCCTATAAAGCGGTTTTGGTCGAAGGTAAGTCGCTCTTATTTACACTGCTAAAACGGTCATCATTTGGGAATGAGGACACCGAAATCGCAGATGCAAGAGCTGAGTGAATGGTGCTAATGCATGTGTACAAAGTCGCATGAAATCATTACTGCTCCCGGCACCACAACAGGCAGGGGATATGCACGTTTGTGCAGTCAAAGCATCAATTTGTTCAACCAGAAAGATTACGTAGGTACTGAAATCCAAAGCGTTAGGACAGAGCCAATGTTTAAGGGAAGAAGTGTTCTTCTGACCTTTTCTGACAAACAATCAACGACTTAGCTAAGCGCACATTCGAATTTAACAGTGTGGTCCGGGTAAGCAAAAGCTCCTCCTCTGCAGTGCCTTGCAAAGTGATTGAAAAAGCAAATAAGAAATCAGGGTGATTTACATACACAAAACCCCAGTCACGTAATCGTAGTTTAATTTAATAGACCCATTAACGCGACGAACGCGCCGACTTCACGAAGTGAATGAGAATGACCGGACCAGTGTTGGATAAGGAAAAAGTTTGCTTCATTCGACAATCATGTGCACCTCCCACCATGTAAGCGTCTCTTTCTCTAATCTGTTAAATCACGCGTGGATAATTAATAATTCCAAAACAAAGCGCCTTCAGGATTCCAGTAGACATCTCAGCGTCAGAAATTTCCTACTCATTCACGTGTTACCATACGATGCTACACTCTTGAGCCTCATAAAGGTCATATACATCGCTATTCCTACCTACGATTTGGTGGGCTAAGTATCACGACGAAACAGCATCCAAAAAGACTGCTACCGTTTACTACACCCAAAACAGCTCCTCAAAAATTGTCTAGACCACATCATTTAACAATTTGCCTGATTGAGATGGCTTGACAACACCTCACAAACTGAACGATTTCGCGACGAGAAAGGATACTTATGCAAAATATTCCACACATCCGAAAGATCTTACGGCGACCCTGTTCGTCTCCTACTCGGTTTGTTCGGCTTTAAAATGATTTCAATCTCATGCATGGTTTGATCACTGGAAAGTGGCAACTAATCGGACGTGCCTACGGAGTTTTAAATGTGCATTTTAAGTGTTGCAGTCTCACCCAATGTAATGAAGCATGTTTGCTCCTACTCTGAAGTCGGATTAGTCAAGAGTACTATAATGATCTCACTATTGTAACGTGAAGCAATCCACTTGCTCACTTTCCAATAACGAACTCTAGCCCAACTCCCAGTTGAGGTCCGTGATGCGCAACCACCCTGTCTATGATGTCTGTGGTTAATTAACCATTACCTGAATTTATCGTTATTACCATATTGAACACTTCCCTTGACAATAGAGCAGTTCCAGACAGCAGATTGACGGCCGTAGGTAATAGACGATTTTGGACGTCGAAAAGGACTGCGCACCTCAAGCGCAAATTACAGTTGCTTCAGACATTCAGTGGCACAATCGAGCGCCTTTGACGCAGAACACACTGACACAAAAAAGAAAACTCCGTTTACACTGTAGTACAAAAGTTCCGTCTACGTGCCTCGACATCACCCCAGAGTACGAGCTGTTTGATCTAGTCATAGTTTGACCGATGGGTAAACAGTACATCCTGCTAGCTCAATGAAGGAAAATTCAGATTAACAACTTCGGCCATTTTTAACACTTGTTGACGAGTTCTTCCAAGTGTTGCAGAAAACAAACATGACCATGTCAACGCAGCGAGCGTGCACCTCTACTCACGCAAAATTCCCATGTAGAATGCAATCTTTTCGCAACCTCTGTGAAATTAATTTCACCACCTCTGAACCGACAAAATATGCATGCTTCGATCACCGACAGAAACAAGGAGAACAGCCACTTTGCCTACATGAGCGCAGATCGATTGCCATGTGCTCGCATCCTTGTCACGCACTGCCTCTTATGCCTATCGGTTCGCTCCGGCATGTGCCACGAGAAGAGGCTACAGTCAAGATAAATATGAGAGAACACAAAGCAGAGTATTGGACTTGATAAGCACTTATCTCATATTTTTCTTTCACATTTACCCATGCACACACTGGTGCGCCCTCTCAATACCTTTATTTCCCTCTTCTTGCACTGTTCAAATTAGAGGGACGTAGGTGTCTCGAAGGTACACTAGCGTGACGCGGGTTCAAGAGGGAAGAAGCATTTCGTACACTATACACAAATATGAAGACAGGGAGAGGAACATAGAGGCCGACAGCAGACGAACGAGGCTCATGACAGAAACGATGGTGCCTAGTTTGATGGCCGAGCTGAGGGAAGAGACAGAGACAGAGCGCAAAATGCAACATCTAGGACACGAGAGAACAGGAAGGTGGGACGGAGCAGAGCGAGGAGTGGAAGGCATGCGGCCGATGCGAACGAGTAAGCAAAGAAAGCCATACGGATGTGAAAGACCTTGTGTTTGATGCTGTATGCGCACGCACGCGGCAGCAACAGCTCCATGAGAGGAGTGGGGAAGAGATAAATTGGTTGGTAAGGAACTAGGGATACAGACAGTCAGAGTAGACTCTCCATTAGGACGCAGTGTTTTGTTGTTGTGGTGGTGGTGGCGGTGGTAGAGTGACAGATGTGTCAGAGGTAGGCTGAGCATCCGGAGGAAGATGAGAGGGCGACTGCTGTCGATTTTGGGACTGGAATGCAGAGTTTTGTTGTGAAGGCTGTGTGGACGGTGGGAAGAAGTGCTGTTGACCGGCAGAATCGGCAGAGGCAGCTGCAGCGGCCACGGCTTCGACTCCACGCACGCGCTGTTCAATCTGCTCCCAAATATCGGGTTGGAAGAACTGACGCAGATCAAAGAAGGCCCTCTTATAGCTCTGCAGGAGGTGGTTTTCGTGCTGCAAGTTGTTAATTGCAGTGCGCAGAGCCTCATTCTCAGAGTTCAGGTGCGCGAATTGATCCTGGAGAGTCTCCATGATAGCCAGCCGAATTACGTCCTAGATGGCGTACGATAGTAAATGAAGGAAAAACATTCTGCGCCACGTTAAGCCAAAAATTAGTTAAAAGTGCAAGAACCTTCGCAACCACCGTACGTCGTATACATATTCCAAGGGGCTGTAAACCTAGTTTCCACCCTAAGAATGAGCGATGCGCTAAGTTAACCAGGCAAATGCCATAGTGCCAGCCCATTTAGTTTGGCAGTACATTCCACGCTTTGTGCCCCTAGCATAACAAACATGGGCTAATCTACTTTGTTGCTTCTGCAAAAATCTTTGCCAAAAATCACACTGGAAATTGGCACATTCCAAACATAGCTACTACCACTAACACCCGACACCAGGGCAATCTTTGATCAACTGAACAAACGATAAATTTCTTGTTCACTACCTATAAAGACCAAGGTACATTTAAACAAAATTTTAGGCTTTCGATAAGCCTGGAACCACACGCGAACCACTCCCTGTTCGGTGCCATGTAAATGCCACTAAGGTGTCAATTAGACAGAATCTTCGCTACCATGTCACCGCAACACTCAAAACATGTAAATAGGAATAATCCAAAGAAGCCCCTTCTTTCGAAATTGCGCACACGTATCTGCACTTTTCATTAATTCGCACCCCTAATGTTGCTTTAATCTCGTAAGGCTGAACCAATGACAAATAACAACGAGAGGTAGGTCTTTGTTGCTAGCTGACATCATTCAGCAATAAGTACAGTTAGCTGGTTAGTTCAGTTAATCAAATATGCATTATGCAAATGAGTTATAGTGCTTATTAATTTCACGATGCCACAATGTGCGTACGCACGTGTGGACTTGAAAACTCACCACCTATGCGAGGGGAGAAGGGAAAAATAATGCCGTATGGTTTAATTTATTCCAGTAAGACAAGGTATGTGATCAGCATAGCCTTAGCTCAGTACCCGGAGATCCTAAGCACAAAGGCTTGAGACAAACTACAGACATATGTGTGCGTGCAATCACCGAAGTCACCGTGGTGTTTGGCGCTCTCCCAAGCGAAGCGCCTTCAAAGGTCACGGCCACCGACGGAGACGTCTTAACATGAGAACTGAGATGGATTGCGTAAGTACCACAAGCATTCATGGCACGCTAGCTGATAGAGATAACAGTATTAACCTGACAAAAGAATGTAGATGGGAGATGCATGGTATGCCTTGACATTTCCAGAAGTCATTCCCGCACTCAGTTGAAGTGTCAGACAAACCAGACGATCAATTGTGGTTACCACAAGGGATGCCATCGACGCCGTCTTTATACGATTAATGTGCATCTTCAAAGTAGAAATCAACCAGATTCACACAAAAAAATGATAAAGTCAAATCTGCATAGCTATTTGTAATAGTGATAACTTGGTGGATTCCAATGACTTTAATGACACCTATCCAAAACCATCAATTATTCCACACTCAAAGCAAGGTTTAGCTGATAACTAAAATCTCCCCATATTTTAAAGCGATTACAAAAAGGTAAATATTACCACAATATAGACTTAAACAAATCATTGTAAAACAGGCGAACACTGACTGGATGAGTAGTCTACAGGTGTTTCAATGCAAAGTTGACCTACCCGAGACTGCAGACCTCCGCATGAATGCATAAGTAATTGATGTGAAGATTACTCTCACACTTATCACGTCTCAATTGAGTGATCGGTGAAGAGAGCTGCACCAAAGTTGAATGTTTTCATTCTATTCTAACGCTCTGAGACATTCACGATATACAATGATGGAGTAAAACATCTTCCAACGTAAATGTGGTCCAAAGGGAGCCCACTGGCGAAGCAAGGGGGTAAAAAGAAGACGTAGTGGGCTTTAATAGGATCGTTTCACCACACATGTTTAAATGGGTAGGCAGAAGTGCAAATCAACACCTTTCGAGGGCTACACAGACACAGGTGTCTTTGATCCTCACAAATATTCTTTCCGATGAAAGAATATATGGGTGAGGATACCTAGTACGCTATAATGGACACTAGTAAAAGCAGATTGACGAAAAGTCGCATGGAGGTCAAAAGTTCACCTAAGCTTGTCTAGTCGACCTCGCAAAAACGCATTAAATAGGTAGTACTTATGTTCATGGAGAATTTGTCCGAAGGAGGATGGCCACAGTAATTCTACCATAAGAGGTACGTGGGAGGGAAGCAGATAACCAAGCGAACAAATGACGAAACGGTAGTAAGTAGTAGCAATGGAGACCTACGCATGCCAATAGACAAGAGCCCTCAAAAACGGTAAGATTTTAGGCAAGAGAACACACCATGCACTTGGGCATTTGGGCCTCAAGACTGCCAGAAACTGAGGTAGAGGTAGAGGAAGTAGATGGGGTGATACCCGAGGGTTGGGGTGAGGGCTGTGCAGGACTATTGTTGACGCAGGCAGCAGCAGCAGCAGCGACCTGGAAGATGTTTCTGGCCGCAGCAGAAAAGTCAACCGGTGTTGCTGCGGCGTTGGTAGCGGTGTCGGAAATCGTGGTAGCAACGGTAGTGCTACCGCACACCGTTGGCACCTGCGAGAACACTCCACCTGCACCTCCTCCAACTAAAGTTGAGACGCCCTCCGCTGCACTGAAAGAGAGAATTCGCAGCGTAATCTTCGACTAACAGGCCGGGACATATCAGATAGTCTTGATCACGTTTTACGGTAAAACATGGTCCATTTTGGCATACGGAACGATGATGTTCCAATTATGCTGTCAGACTGAAACGATGCACCTCAAAGACATTTATGAATTCGTGACTAGTCTAGCGATTGGGTTGGACCAGTACTAAGATGCCAGTTATTAAAAGAATCTACCACCAGCAACATTTCACCTTGGCAATTCTTATAACCCAAATGAAACACCAAAAAACATTCTTTTCGCCATATTTTTACTGTGTATCCGCATTTAGGTCGAATCAGGACATTAATACCACCACCACATCTCAAAACGATAATGTCGACTTCGTTTAATGAAAAGGCATCAGGTGAAAACGAATGGGGACTGCCAAGAGCCACACCAGCGAGCATGAGGTACACAGGAGGTAAGCTCGCACACGTCGGCTAATGAAGGGCAGAAACCTTTGAACCCAACCCACTTACTGGACCTTTCGGGCACCAAAAACAAAGCACTGTAGTGTTTGAGCTAACAATCGACGCACAAAGACCCTCTACAACGGGCTATTGTTAATAATTGCGAGGACGAATAGGTGTAATAACATTTCACAAAGCCCACGCAACGATATGAAACCCCAATGGATGTGATTCAACTCGAAACTAATAGAAATGAATGAACAGGTGCAGAGACATTGCCGCGCCCCATGCAACAAATCGTTTCAGATTAGCTAGTCAATACAGCAAACAAGGATTCCATTGTTTTGTGGCGACAAGTATGCAACAAACCTCCAGTGGGAGGAAGTGCTTTAGAATACGTAAAAGCATTCCAACTATTTGTCGCGCCCTCATTTCGATTCCTCATATAAATGGAATGCTGCATTTCATTTACTAGCACTAGAAGACGTAAGGTCGTGCACGAGCATTGAGCATCAAGTGCTCACATTTTGAAAAGAAACCAGTCATAACTTCAAAGCAAAAATTTCAGAGGATCCTACAAATCTAATTCAAGAATGTTTACATAATCTCCTTTATCTAGGAACAGCAGGTACACCATCACAGAATGCCTGAAAATCGCCGCGAAATAGGCTGAGAGGAGTCAAGCGTGTAGGAAACAACCTTTGCCTATTGTCATTGCATAAATATGTTAATTCATCCAACAGCGAATAACGAGTACCTGTACGCAACTTATCCTGGTTTAAGTCGATAGCCTAGTTGGGATGTTTATAAATAAACGGCGTTTTAGCACGACTGTCACGCAAAGAGACGCAATTCAGGCATTCTAACAAGAGTCGATTGGATAAGAGAAAGAATGAACGAGGGAAGGCATCCAGAGTAATATCAGGAATTTGGATAGACACGTTTGTGACCTTGAACTATAATCAATAAACAAACCATTCAAAGCCCGTTTTGAATAAGGGTCTGATGGTACGTGGGAGGTGATCAAAGCCTGCGGTGAACGATAAGCCAACTAAATATCCTCGCTTCAAGCACGAGCAGCCTGAAAATTCCAAAAATTAACGGCGATTGGCATAACTGCTTAAAGACTTTTCACATAACAAGTGGCTTTGGAAAATTCCCCTTATACTGTAGACTTCGACTGCGTCATTGCCCGATGAGGACGTCATTAGGAAACGTCAATTATTAGACTCCTATTAAAAAGGCACCTCAGTAAAAAGTGGAAACACATTTGAAACTGCTATCAACAGGAATACAAGGTGAGTATGAGATGTTCGAGCTCATAGTAGGAAACAAAATGCATACTCGATAACAGTAGTCGTCATAGGTAATTTGGAGTAACAGCAGTTCATCTGAATTCATTGGTTCACCCTCTTAGCAGTGTAAGTGAATGCAAAAAAGCAAATGTTAGGAGGCATTGAAAAGCGACTGGCTGACATGCTAACAGGACAAACAAGTCGACTGTCAGAGCGGAAATCAACGGAAGTGAATGCACGAAACGAAATCTAGCATCCAATCACTTCGATTGCGTTGACATACATAAACACAAGCACGTGTGTGGGGTGAAGACTCGGAATTTTGTGCGCTTAGGAGAAAGCAGTGGTTTTCGCCCATAGAACTGCAAGATATACACACTGCACGACTTGTGCAGAACTTGATGGGCACTTGGAATGTGATAAACAAAAACTGTGATCTTAATAGCCGTACGCTAACCGCCCACACGCATGTATAGAGATGGCGAAGTGAAACCAACGTAAATTGAAACAATAGCAGTGGTCTAGCGGCCCAAAATGTCACAGATATGTCGGTAAGCATGAAGTACAGACCCGTAGGTTTTTGTTTGACGCTGTGTGGTGAGACCCACGAAATTAGATCGTATCAGCCAGTGTTACGGCCACAAGATCACAAGCACGTGATAATGTGTTTAATATTCCCGATAAAATGCAAAATCTGATCTAAAGCAAAACTTCAGTGCACACCTTGGTGAAAATAAGGACGCAATTTCATCAGCTGCTGAAAGACATGCATTGTCAGCCGATTGGTGCCGACTTGTGATAAATTAGCTAAAATGCATGGAATCACTCATACACACTTACGGAAATGACTGCCGCAGTGAACATTTTGGACCATTTACGTGGGAGAAAAGTACTAGCAATTCCTTGAGTGTGGATATGGACATTAAACCTAATCGCCACGTAAATATGCGGTCTTCAAGGTGCGGTAACACAGCAAAATTCGCGAACGTCAAAATCAAAATTCAACGATACGTTAGTGGATAAAGAACAGCTCAACTTGTACTCTAGGAGAAAGGTTGGTTTCACTTTTAGAAATATGGTAAAATTTCAATGACAACAAGGGTGACGAAGACAAACCGAGGTTTCCGACGCGTGTGGTATCGCATAGCGCATACACCGCGCACCTGCTACATATCGGCATTAAGCGGTACGCCAACACCAGGGCAACTGCACACAAAAACCCCACCCCTCTTTACCACTACGCGAACTAGCCATAACCACCAGTCCTATAGCATGGCGATAGTAACTTCGATAAAATCCCGTTTTTTACTACATTTGCATCACTCCGGGGCGAGCATGTCACGTCCTACGACAATACATTGAAGTCCCATTGAGATCGAGGAGATACCCTTTTCAAGTAGACAAATCTGAGGACAAATGCTGTTACAACACTTTAAAGAGCGAGTACATACAGAGAAATAGTATGATGAATTGCAAAATCAACCCTCCAATGAAGGCTCGGGGAAAAAAACAAAAGGAAGTTGAATTCCCATACAAATATGTACGTGAAGTACTCAACCAGAGCCGTTGTAAATGGAAAACTACCAATACTCAAGAAATCGCTTGTCTGACGCGGTCAACGTTTTAATCCGCTCCGCCTTTATTCCTGATTGTAGTAGAAGCGCCTATTCAACTAAGACTAATGTCATAAGATATAAAATGGGTATACTCCATCCAAAGGACTCACGTCTTATCAGGAAGGGTGATCACATTTGGTACATTTTGCCCACTCCCCACTAGACTGTCAGACAGAGCCGAGCGGATAGAAAGTGAGGGATCAGTAGCGCTAGGAATGGCCATTCCGGAGACTTCCGTGTCCGGAGATAGTTGGACGGAAGCGATTGTCGTTCCGGATAATGATCGAGCACTGTCCACGGTCCTCGGAGAGGTGGCAGTGGCTTCGACACATTCACGGTGCGCACCAAGCAGTCGACCTACGCGCGTCGGTCTGCCAGGCATGGTTGGACTCGCAGGGGGTGCTATCTGCTGTTCCACAGCAGTAGCAATAGTCAGAGCTGGTGGCTGCGATGGGTGAGGCAGTCCACCGTCCAAATATGTGGCTTCTCCCTCTGCATTGATTGTAAGTTGACGCCGAAGGTAGGCAGCAGAGGGATCAATGACGCGCGCGTCATTGCTCTCTATCCCATTTAGCGTGGGTAGAGAGACACCGGCAGGAGGGGTTTGTTCCACCACCGTGGGCAGTGGCTGATGATGAGCAGACCCACGAGCAATCATGGTGATGCTATCTGTCACCAAGTCTTCGTTCCCGGGTGGCAAAACAGCATTCACTTCGGTCGAGTTGTGCGCAGCCATTTCTACATGTTCGGAGGGGAGTGAAGGATCAGAGGCATTCGCTTTGATACCCAAACTGCTTTTCAACGAGGAGCAATTCACTTGCTCTACCAGTGCGTGGTTGGATATCCGTTCACCAGCGTCCCAAGTGGTAAGAAGGGAAGAAAGGTTGTAGCCCTGTTGAGTGGCCGAATGATAGGCTGCAAATGTCGCATTAAGAACATGGGAAAGCTCTGAGGACTCTGGCACGGTGGGAAGTGAGCAGGAAACCGCTTTATAGTGTTTCAAAACGGACCCACGAAAGCCAATCCGTTTGTGCTTGGGATTACTGCATTGTGATCCTAAAAGAAAAGCCACATACACCCCGTAGTACAAGGAATTTGTAACAATCTGGTTAGTCTTCAGTGAGGAACCAAGAACTCACCAAAACTACCAGGTACATAGCAGTAAAGACATCGACCTCGCTGAGCAATCGGGTGATTGAAAGAAGTATCGATAGGCTTATTCTTAAGGTAGGAAACCCAATCCGGCACGGCTTTGAGACGACAATCATGAAAAGACAGTCGATTCGAGTCCCACTGTTCAACAGTTTCGCGAATACGAGCCTTACGAAAGCGTGACGCTGGTTGAATAGGTGCATTGAGAGACAGTAGAGGGTTTACTAAAGGTCCATCAGAAACGGAGCGAAGGGAATCGCCATTGAGCTGCTCATTGAAACGTTGGGTGGGTAGCTGTGGTAATGTAGCCAATGTGTTTGGAAGATTTGGCCCAGAAACTTGTGACGTAACAGCAGCGCCCGATGCCACAATGAGTCGTGTGGTCGGGTCGAATGACGAATCAGGATAACCGGAAGCAGGCAGTTCCAAATGAATGCTCTGCTGAACCTGGGTGGCAGAGAGATTTGAAGGAGCATTTGCAGAATTTGGCGCCAACGGGGATTCGAGCGGTGTACCAGATGCGGCGTCTGTATTAATCTGACGAAAGAGCACTGAGTGATTGGAACCACTGGGAACTTGTTCAGTGGTAGCTCGCAGCGGAATATCGTAGGGTTGTTGCACAACGGAAGTCGGTATTGGAGCGCTCGCTGAGGGTAGTTGAGCAGGTTGAAGATTTGATATAGCAACGGGCTTTGTTCCATCTACGATGTGGCCACTGTTGGCGCAACATTCCATGTTCCCAGTCTAATGTTCAGTTTAACAGACAAATGTCGAATACTGTTACAATATGTTTAATAAACTTTTAAACGAAGAGACAAAACTAAACCTACTTGGGTCGAAGCATAACCCTGCGGATGATTTCTCTCGACAAATGACTGAGGCTGAAAACCCACTTGTGGGTTCGACTGAAGAATTTGATGTGGCTCCGAGTGAGGATCCAATTCTTCTTCCTCGTCGTTGTCATATTCCTCAGCTTCTAGTGAGACCGTGGATGAATAATGGCGCCCTAGCTCCAGACTATTTCCTTTCATGTTTTTACTATTCATTTGCAATGACGCTGCTTTGGCAATACAGCTATCATCGTAACAATCATCCAACGCATTCACTATCCTGCCGTTCGTATTCACCATGTTTTTCACAGTGGATAGATGCTTCACACTTAGCAACATGAAACCCGAGCTTCCTTCTTTCCGTGCGACTTGCATTTGCGTTTGATCAGTGGAAGAGGTGCTAGTAGACCGAATCTTTTGACTTTCACGACCTAGTTCTGATAAAGTCTTATCATCATTGATGTCCGTCCTCGAGGTCATATCTGCAATGAATTTATCCTGTAAAGGGGAGAGTTAGTGCAGATATCAGACCAGCACATCTCCAAAAATGTATTGAACAGCAAAGAAGACCAGCTTTTTATGGGCGTTACAGACGACTGTCAGTGGTCAAATCACCTCAACACGAAACCTAACTAGCGACTTCATAAGTGCCGTCGCAAAAGTAAAATCCGCCAGCCAATAAACAGCCGACAATCACTGACTGGTCAGAACAGGTAAAATGATTTCAAACTCAGCATTTAAACAAACGTTAAATCGGATCAAGCATACATAATAGTCATCAAATTAATCCTTATTGTTATGCTAAACAATTAACTAAATACAAAATAACTAATAGTTAGGATCAGAAAAGTTCCTTATAGGGACTTGCTAAAACCGAATGGTAAATTGAAAATTATAACACTTTGCTCATACCTAACAATATATGCAGAGAAAATGGATTTCG